TCGCATTTGTAATTGAAGGACGGCGCGCGTGAATTCTGGTGCGCCTTTCCTGAGAAGGAGAAGGGTAAGAGTAGTCCTCTCTCGTAGAGCAGCTGGCGCTGATGGGGCCGCGGATGTGTGCGAAAGCGTTTCCATGGTCCTGTCAGTATGCGACAAAGGCGATATACCATGGGGTTTTAGACGCTGTGAGTCTGAGATAACCCGTCCTTGCCCCCCGCGAGTATGCGTTAGCCTTTCCACATACTATATGTACTATAAAACCATATACAATTAAAAAAACCAGAAAAAAAAACAAAAGGTTGTCATAAGATTCAAGTGTTCATTAAAACTACAGATATCATATATATTATATACGATTATTATTATGTTCATCAAAATATCTTAATAATATTACTACACCGACCGGATCGAACCTTATTTGGTATTTTATAATTTGTTGTATGTAAGCCTAAAATTAAAAATAAAATGTTTAAAATATGATTAAATCCTATTAATGTTGTAAAAGTTAAATTAATGAATAATGAAGAATCAAAATATAATTTAAATATTTATTTTAAGACGTTTAAAATACACTACAACCATTTTGTATTAAAAAATTTTGAACAAACGTTACTTGATTTAGGAGCAAACCAACCTTCTTTAACAATTGCGTCAGTCGTTTTCTCGTACATTTTACTCTTTAGTTAAACTAAAAGATAATAAAACCTAACAAGGGTTGGACTTACAATTAAGTCGCCTGAATTTGAGAATTCTGTCACTTTATATCAAGGCTTTTTATTTTCTTTATTATGCTTTTTTCGGATATGTATATATCGGATATTTCAGGAAGCTGTTGCTGCGAATCGAGCAAATATAGTGTAGTTATTTGTTGGTGTTTTATAGACACTGGGAAGTCAAGTGCGCTGCAATTAAGTTACAGGCCTCTTTTAGTTCGTTTGATTGTTTTTCTCCTAAATACATTGATGGTGGGTATCCAGAAGAGTTTTTACATATGTTAGAAATGTGTGTCCAAAAATATTTGTAATTTCTACCTATTTTGTGTTCTAGAGTAGATATGTATCTATCATAACATGTTTCTGTAAGTATTTCACAGTCGTGACAGAGGTATTGAAATTCTAGTAGGTCTAAGTTAGGATTATTATAGACCTTGTATATTCTTTGAAACTTCTTTTTTGCTTTATTAGATGTATCAAATAGGAGTTGTACCATACCGGATGCCTATTGCCAATTTTTTACACACACATAAATATTTGTCATTTTATAAAGTATTAGGTAGAATTTATTAGTCATGTCGTTAATATTATCATAAAGAAAGAAAGTCTACAAATAGCCACAGTGGACGGTATAAACAACCTACATTAAATGAAGTTGCTTTATTTATTGTTGTACCGCAATTTTCTATGCGGGATATTGTAATTGAGAGCCGTGATAACACATCGCAACGAATAACTGAAATCCATCGCTGATAAGATGCACTACAGTACACAAAGCCCAGAGGAATGTGAGTGGACGAATGAAGCGGTCTTATTTGTGGCCTTCAGTGACAAAACTAAGCCTTACCAAAAATAATGAGAGTCCATCTTATGGGAGATGTTACTTCCGGACAGTTTTCAGACCTGTTGTTTAAAATAGAAAATGGTGATTTCCCGGAACTGGACAATAATATAATTCTCCCCATCTTAAGGTGCAGCATCAAAGCGATCTATTGCATGGAGTTCCCATGGCATGGTGGTTCGCCAGTGTTACGTGCAGCGTGACTATGTTATGCGAGACAGCTCTCTTTATTTGCGAGCAAACTTCGCTTCTGTACAGACCTCACATTTTGTTTGCGATCAGACCTCGCTTGTGAGCGGACCTAATAATACATATTCTTAAAGGGAAAGTAGACGTTTTTCAGTCAAGCCAAAGCAAAAGCTATATTATTCATATGTAGTACGTAGGACGTGACACGTTTCTTTGTTAAAAATTGGTTAAAAACGATATTTTAAATTTATATGTCTCGTAATTTCCAGTTCAATACTTATAATCAATAAAAAATTACAACTTTATTTGTTTTTGATTCTTATGTCCATATTGCGTAATTTTAATTTAAAAATTTGTAGCCCACGTGAATGTAAAGCTAGATGCTCAACCAACCAGATACAAAAAACAAAATATTTTTCGATAAATCAGGCAGGTCCATAACGCTGCTTATAAATAACGGTGAAATAAAAAAAATTCTCTCATTTGTTCGAAGCACAACTTAGCCTCACTACTGTATTTATTTAAAATTTTAAGTGACCATAATAAAGAAAAACATGGGTAGCTGCGGGATGACTAATGTGCCAGCGATGTGTTTACCAATTGCCAATACATGTGGACCACAGGGAGCCTATATGTGTCAAAGCAATGTTCCACCAATACAAAGATGCTATAATCTGAGCCCATGCATCAACATTTATAGCTGCCACACGCAAATTATGTAAAAATTTAAATCGAGGAAAAAGAAAAATGAAGACATCATCAAGCAAAAAGTAATATTTACCGAATGAAAATATGTATGGTATCTTTAATAATATAACTCTTATTTAACAGCATTTCTAGTTTTTGTGGAAAACCTATTCCTTTTATATATTCGGCCACAAAGGCATTTAACTATCGTGTGAATAATGAATATACTTTACTAGATTTCGCCCGATGTTACCGCGATGTTGACCCGCGTCCACGTTGCAATGTCCGAACAGTCATGACCTACGCTTATTATAAAAATGCTATAATAAATAATAAAAACTAGGTATTTTGGAGTGCTAATAATCACAGAAATCAAGTTAAACTTTGGCCTGTTGAATGGTGAAAACCACTGCTACAGATGTACGCTTTTGGAAATTCGACAATATTCGCCGTGTTAGATCCCTTTTTCCTTAAAAAATCTATCCAAAACTAATTACTTGGAACTCTATTATTTCCCGTCCTGTTTTTTTAACTTGATGGTATAATATATTATATAGCTAGCCATTCAAAGAGCTTTTTCATCAAAAGTAACTTTCGACTCCATCGCTCAGTAAAAAAAAGCTTCGTAGAAATCCATCATCATCATTACAGCCCTTCATAAGTCAACTGCTGAATATGTTCATCCTCAGGCCTCCCCCAAAAAACGCCACAAAGCACGGTCCTGAGTCATCTGCATCCATCGACTTCCTGCATATTGCCTACTGATTTCCTATATATTCTGAAGGAAAGTATTGAAATAACTTTCTTTTAGAAATTACGCCCATAAAAGAAATTTAATAAATTTATATTTGTAAATAGTGTGTGTTTTTATTAACTCTAACTAATACGTGCATCGGTAAAGCAGGGTCTTTGACAATACTCTTACTTACCGGCCAATGCAAAGGTAATAAAACCACATAATTAACAAATAAAAAATTATTTAAATTATTTTTTTATAGTCGAGTATTCTGAGAGAGTGTGGTGTGCAAGATGATGTTGTGACCAGGATTAAGAAAGGAATGCTTCGGTGGTTTGGTCATATGGAAAGTATGAATGAGGAAAGTGTGACAAAGTAAATTTATGTTGCAGAAGTGAACGGTAGAGTCGGAAAGGGACGTCCTAGACGAATTTTTTCGACCAAGTAGGCAATATATTGAAGGCAATATTAAGAGTACACACCGACGAGCATGTATGCGTAGATATATGGATGTGGAGGAGGCGAGAGAGGTGTCAGGATCGTGCCAAATGGAACTCTGCCTACCCCTCTGGGTGACAGGCATGTTCCCGAGTATCCAGTCTATTTATAACACGTGCCTATCTATCCACCCTAGAAGGGGTGGATAGTTGTATCTCACTTATATTTGTTCTTCCTAATTTTTAACCCAAGTACAGTTCAACACATGCATTTTAATTATTAATTTTTAATAACCACAAACTTAATCAAAAACCATATTTACGTACTGCGATTACTCGTACCATTACAGCCTGTTAAAATCCACGCATTACGTATTGCATTTAAATCAAATTGACCTTCTACTTTAAAATAATATTATTGCGTAATTATAAAATTCTGCATTATGTCCAGGCAATTACCGACAATAATTTCATCATCGAATACACATAATTTGATATCCTGGATAAATTCGTCACTTTTAATGTAAATTTGCAATCGTTTTCTAAATTTCTTTTTTCCCACAGACGTATTAAAGAAGTACTGGGCGTTTTTTGCAAGCATGCGAAAAACGTCACTATTGGAAGTTTGGCTTTAACTTCATTTTAAATTATATAATTCCAAGATACCAATTAATCTGTAATCCTGTTCAAAGAGGAAGTATTTTTATGTTATAGATAATGTCTACTAAGTAACTTAAGCCCGTTTTTATTATGTTCTATAAATGACTGTACAAAGCTCAGGAAGAAAATCGGAAGAAAAATAATATATGTATACGAATTTCAATCATACACCCCGTCTGGGGTGGATAGAAGAACACGCGTTTCTGAGTATCCAACCCAAAAGTAAATTGATCTTTAGCGTGAATAAACGGAATATCCTAAAAATATAACTATAATAGTACGATTGGCAAGCTTATAAGTAGTTCCGCAAACCCGTTCTACTTGTAAAGAGACTTTCCATCTTACTCTTCAGGGGTGACAACGCATCTGCATTTTAATTCTAAGGATAGATGTAGATGTCTATGATCCACAGCATCTACTAATCATCAATTGGACTGTGTGCTCGCTTGACACCCTTACTTTTATAAAGTTTAAGCTTTTGCTATGATCTAAGCTTCCACATTGATCAAATGATGTTCATTGGTTCGTTCAATTTACTTCCTATCAAAAGTTTATTCGAGTCTCCCTTGCAAATGTAAACAATATTTAGCAGTTTAAAAACATTTATACATTATAAAAGTAAGGCTAATAATAATCATTATTGCACATTATCAACAAATAAGTTATGGTATTAAAAAATTCCTTTAATGGACACAACACATTATATTTTTCTATTATAACTTCATTTAAATCCTCTGCTATCTTAAGGGCACGTTTACTGCATAAGCACATCCCGCCTGCGGTCCCTGAAAAAATATAACGGAATTACTTGCTAATTTTATTAAAATAACAATTCCTACTTTTTAATTGAGCGGGAATAAAAACTTATTTGTTTACAAGTACCTCTTCATTAGAGGCTTTTAAACTGCATGGGGACATGGGCCAATATCATCTTCCATCACAAATCCGCTGCTGAACTATGGTAGAGACCACTACACCAATATCGCGTGGTGGAAACCAATGTATGATTACCGCAAAGCACGGGCCTGAGCCACCAGCATTCGTCGACTCGCGACGGTAAAAACGTACGTAGCGCATATTGCCAATGATGATGTACGTACGTTTCCGTTTCGTAAGTCATCGTTGGCAACATGCGCTAGTTATACACTTTTCTTTAAGGTTCTGAGGTAATCGGACAGATTTGTTGCGATTTCCTGGACGCAGCCCATCCGAGTTAGATTCGATGGTTTACCTATTGATCAAAGTTAGGTGAGCCCAACATCGAACATTTTGTCAATGTCAATTTTGAATACTGCAAAATTTCGCAAAGATCCTTGTTTAGCAGCTGTAAATTATGTTTATAAAATAAAGTGATTATAAAAATTAATATTTTGGTATTTCATTGAGTGCGAGCGAAGCGAGCTCGGAACTTGAGGCACCCTGACTCGGACAGGTTAGGTTAGAAGGGGATATAGGGAGTGGTTTTTCTTTTATAAACCAGTCAGAAGTAGGAGCCCCGCTAAGTGGGACTCCGTCGACCAGGCTTCTCTGGACTGCCCCCCATAAATCGGGTTAATATTTTCAAAACATTACGAAACATAAACTCAAAATAAAAATAAAATAAAATGTATAAAAGAAAACTAAGCACGACCGGCAGGGGGGAATTGAGGAGCGACTCTACAACTGGTAATGTAGTTACTGGGTAGGGCACGGACTTGACTACACTCGACTAGACTCACAGAATACCAGCGTAAAAGAGCAGCTTAAGGCTGATGGGTTTCGTATAGTGAGTGTAGAGAACCGGCGACCCTTTTTACTGGTAACTAGTCATTTCATCTAGTCTGCAACGCTTGGTGACAACGCATTTGCATTTTGATTCTCAATCGAGGATAAATGTAGATGTCTATGGGACATAGCATCCACTTACCATCAGGTGGACTGTGTGTTTGTTTGGCACTCATATTCTATAAAAAAAGTTGTCTAAAGAAAGTACCAGAAAAGTCACGACTGACGATGATGAAATAACCTTGAAATTTATGAAATAACCTATTCGGAAACAACAAGCTTTATGACATTTACTGGAAGAGGTGTGCAAGTTTTGTGTGAACTCATAATTTACTTTGTGTCACAACCGGATTGAAACAATTCGCTCCCTCAGCAATAAATAAGAATAGTATGCAAATTTTAAACTAACCTGTTTTACATAATTAGATACAGAATACCGCACGTTTGGATTTCGACGCGTGAAGCATTCTGCGGGTAGACCAGAAGGTCTATTTTGGAACACACTGTCATTTACTATTAACGGTCTTCTTCGCGTCACTGGATCCAGCTCACAATCAGGACAGCAGCTGCGACACACAGGAACACAAGGATAGGGGCAAGGTGGAGGTCGTGGACAAATTGGCCGTTGCTTGGGAATTATAGGAGGAGGGCATTGCGGATTACAACAAGGTAAAACTGGCTGGTAACAAGGCGTTGGTTCCGGGCAAGGCAACATCTGTAAATTAAATACGATATTTCATTTCTTTTTAGAACCATACCAATTACCAATTAATATTATCATTGATACCAATTGAAACAATAAAAACAAGAATGTCAATTTTGACATATTGTAAGCCCGTGTAATAAATACCTAATTAAAAACGATGCCACGTGCAAAAGTTATAGTTCGTATTTATTTGCTACGCTACATTACGTCTGAAAGAGAGAAAAGATACGCGCGTCGTAAGCGTTTTATTACATATATTTTTTTTTTTTTTTTTAATTTACGTGGTAGAGCCATGTTGCAGCAATATTATAGTTGTAGCACGAATGGGTCAGTTCGTACAACAAAGGACCACGCTCTCACGGAATACAAGCGTAAAACAGCAGCTCAATATGGTGAGTGTAGAGAGCCGGAGACCCTTTATTCTAGAAACGTGGCATTCCATCTTAGTCCTCAGGGGTAACAACGCATCTGCATTTTGATTCTTAATTGCGTATAGATGTAGATGTCTATGGGCCACACCATCCACTTACCATCAGGTGGACTGTATGCTCATTTGTTACAAATTTTTCTATAAAAACTACAATTATTTTTAATTAAACAACTGTTTAGTTGTATGTGAAAAGTCAATGGGGAATTATGTAGGCCCATATTATATTATCAACTCAAGACTTGCTCAACAAAAAAAAATCATGATACCACATCAATTTCTTTTTCATTAATCAGTTGAACAACTATTGACAACTAATAACAAAAACTGTCTTTATAATAATTTTCATTATCTTTATATCAAATAAAAACTTTAAAAATCAGAAAATATTCATAAATATAGTAACGTGAGTAAAAATTATCTGCTGTCGAAATCAACTACCACGTTTCAATGCAGAGTTATAATTTAAGTGCTGACTGATGGCATTTCACGTAACACAACATCATTATATCCTATCAAAGATATAGTAGCCATGTTTATCCAGCGGATTGGCAACCACAGTTTTTATTTCTTTGAGGTGTGATCAGTAAGATACAGCCACCCATTTTCTGTTTCAGTTTTATTCTGTCACTTCTTACGACATCTACGAGATGACATGGGGTAGTAGATTATTTTACGCTGCCACTATTCGAGCATTAATTTTTTTTCATTTCGTTAAATTACATAATAGCTATTGTATTAACAAATATTTCGGCGAAATATTAAAAATTATCCTAAGATTTTCGCGTTTGTTTCATAAAACTTTCAGTCTCATTGTTCATGTGTTAAACATGAAAACCTCGTTCCTTATATATGTGGTACAGCCAAGCTGAAGCTATGTTATAGTTACAGCATGAATTGCCGAAATACGATATTAACATAAACGAAAAGTATATAATAAGAAGAATAACAATAATAAGAATGGTCTTTACGACCGGGGTAGAACCACGCTCACACGGAATAACGTCGTAAAATAGTAGCTTAAGGGGATATAGTAACTCAGCTCAAATTCTAATTTCGCCCCCACTTCCCCGCGCGTCGTATACTATGTACCGACATGTTTGTAATCACTAATACTGTAAGTAGATAGGTCGTTAGATACTTATTTCATTAGGTTTATCATATTTATGCCTGTTTCTTTACGCCAACCCAGTCGATTCTTATTTTTATTACGGTTATTTCCCATTTTAATTTTACGTCATCCTGTTGCGTAATGTGTATTCTGATCGTAAGTGACACAGCTTCCCCGTTCAAAAGCTGAAGCGAGACTAACCCATAGATTACTATGTACATACGACTAACTCATAGATAAGCTATTATAATCGGGAGGACTAACCGGACGGCAGGAAACAAGCTTCAAGACGCCGATAGTTTAGGTAATTTCTTTTTACAGTGAAAATAATGGTTATTTTAAACAAAAATAAACATAAGCCCTGCTTTATAGTCTGTTCAGTTAGTATGCAAAGTTTTATGATCTAATTTAAAGTATTTTATGAATAACAGCGGTTTATTGTTCAGTTTGGAGGTAACTTTGGATTTTTTTTCTAACGAGAAAATTTCACGGAATCGTGTTTTCGTCTAGCATAAGTACTTAACATTAATCCTCATCTTTACCATATATTTATTCCAAAATTAATGCTGCAATGTTTTCGGCATAACGGAGAATCTTGCTAAGCCATTTGAGGTAGTATTTTTAATATTTCCCCTTAAGGGCCGATCCTCATTTGCCGTTCACTGTGCGTTCTAGGTCCGATCTCGGTCTGATTTATTATAATGGAATGGGATTCGACCAAAACTTGACTGTTACAGATAGTATGAATAAAATGAACACAAATATTTTTTACTTGATAATATCTTATCAGACCGAAATCGAACTGTGAACGGCATTATAATGAGGATCGGCCCTAAGGCTGATGTGCTTCGTATGGTTAGTGTTAGAGAACCGGTTACACTTTTTGTTGGAAACGAGGCATTCCATCTTAATAATCAGGGGTGACAACGCTAAATATATGTCTATTGGCCGCAGCATCCACTTACCATCAAGTGGACTGAGTGCTCGTTTGTCACCCCTATCCAAAAAAAATTTCACATCATATCACTATCATCTATACATTACATTTTTCACAACGAACAGCCATTCTCTACTTAGTAGTTCAGTGATTATTATAATTATATAAAAAGTAATTATATTACCGGAGGAGGATCGCATGGTTCTGGGGGAGGACAGCATGGTAGCACTGGAGGACAACACACTGGTCTCGGTTGTGGGGGTGGGGGTGGCTCGCACGGCGGTAATCGGCGTGGTTTGCAAACTGGCAATACCGGAACAATTGGTGGTACTATATCAGGGATAACAGGCGCTGGGCATGGTCGAAATACTGGCTTGCATGTGCATGGCGGACATGGCGTACACGGTGTCGGAGGCGGACAACATGGCTGGCAACAAGCTGGAGGCGGTGGACAGGAATAATAGCAACATCCAACACCACAGGGTATGGTTGGCGGACACGTTGGACAAAAGCAAGAAGAACACATTTTTGGCAAAAATTACAAAGGCTCCTTTTATAGCTTTTTATTTTCGTTTTTAGTTTTGCAATTTTTACTTTAAAATTTACATGAATAAAATTATTAATAAATTATGTTTTTATATTTAAATTACTAATTATAAAATATTGACAAATATGTCAATCAAAAGTTTTTATTTTTATGTTAAAACATTTATTTCAATAATATTATCTCAGATATCAAGTAAAAACTCTTTGAACTTTTGTACAAGAATTTCATACAAGTAATGAACAACAGGTAAATGATTTTTATTTTTTATATTAAATCTATATCAAAGCTCTACATCAAGATGACTTCTTCGCAGATGCTTGTTAGATTTTTGGTGGAGACTTTGGAGTTTGTTGAAGGTGCAGACTTGTATTGAAGAAGTATACCTTTAGAAAGTTGTCTATTCAAGAGCCTGTAAGCCGACGTACCAATTGAGAGCTGCAGTCTCATTTCTCGTCTAGCAGCCATTATATTAGGAGTGTGATGGGAGAGTTTTTAGTTTCTTCTGCAGTGGGTCTAGCAATATTTTGCTCCGACCGCATTGACAGTTTCTACGAAGTCATTGATACCGTCCACCATATTAATGCCACTGGAAACAATTTTGTAGCCCGAGCTGAATGCTATCGGAATCTGGTCGTCGAGAAGGTCTGAGCTTTGAAAATATATCTCTAGTCAAACTAAAGATTGTTGTTGAGATTTAGTGTGCCTCTTCAATGAACGCTGCCAGTTTTCTCCTTTGCGATCACAGAGATATAACATAATAGGTAATATTATAGATAAGTTGCTGTTATCCATCTCCTGAGATAGTTTTCCTAAGTCACCTCTTACAAAAACTACGGGCTGATATAGAGTAGTGGATATTCTTACACCGCCACTACTCGGCGCTGCGATGAGATGTCGTATCCCTTTGCATTCTCTATTGAATTAACTTTTATTTATTATTTACTCCAACCGCCAATTTTACCAAGCACACCGCGACAAAATTCAAGATACCAAACCATCTAGATTGATAGACAAATTTACTCTGACGACCTTGTGGTCATTGCAAATAGTTTTTGCCAAAGTAGCTTATCGTCAATCATATAGAAAACCTAAACACCATAAATAGCTGGTGTAGGGATAACGTAATACCCTTTACCAAAAAAGGACGTTTGAACAAATTAGTTATACTGAAGCTAAATGGTAAAGAAGTACCATCCCTCACTGAAGTTAAGTGTTAAGACGTAACAATCGACCAAAAACTAACGTGGAACTCTCATCTTATCAACGTGTGCCATAAGGCAAAACTTAGTTTGTGTATGTGCAGTCATATGGTTGAAACAACTGGGGCTTGCGTGTGCCTGTCGTTGAGTTATAATCCTTTGGCTGTACAGCAGCATAGTGAGGCCGATTATTATCTGCGCCTCTATTTTTTGGTGTAATAGGGTCACCAAAACACGACTGCGGACACGCTAAATAGTCTACGAACGACTGCCCGTTTTATGGCTACTAGAGCGATGTGATCATCGCCTGGAGCGGCTCTTAATGCACTTCTATGTTTAACGCCCCTTGATTGCCCCTATTTAGATAAGGAGACGAGGGCTAGTTTGTATAGAGTTAACGCCAAAAGCAGTCTGAGCTTGCTTTCCTACAGATTGAGATCCCTGACTCAACGATGGAAACACTAATATGATCCATAATCTCAGATATCACATGCATCCACTACACACTTTTAATAAAAAGTACATAGTGGAACTAGAGAGAAGACTGGCTGATCGAATAGGTTATCAGTGAGGTTGGTAGCCTTATATGATATACCGATGGGTCAAAAATAGGTCTAGGTTTTGGAATATATGGAGATCGCCTCAAATTCAAGCTTAGTATGAATTTGGGGAAATTCGCCTCTATCTTCCAGGCAGTAATTTTCACCCTACTTCGGTGTGAAATGAACCTGCAAAAACAGTACGTTACCAATATTGTCTATATACTCGTAAACTCTTATAGTATATCA